TGACATCTCACTCTTCACTTCTTGCTCTGTCACCGTCATTCGCACTCCATGGTTGTCAGTACCATCTATCTTCATCTCAGTATTTGACTCACATACTTAGCTCATGTTGCCCGTGGCTTGCAAGCGCAGAGCAGTAAAACAAAAAGTAGGTAATGTGTGAATTAATGGATCCATGTGGTAGGAGGGAAAGAGTGGATAAAAAAAAAATATTGAAAACCTAAAAAGTAAACCAAGCCACACGAATGAGGACAGAAGATGTGAAATAAAGTGAAAAATAAAACAAAAAAAAATGTATGAAGAGAGAGAGAATTAAAAAATAAATTAATTAATTAATTATTACTTTTTTCTTGGGTTACAATAGGAAATTTTTACACATTTAAATTAAATTAAATTATTTAATTATTACTGGTTTTAACTCGGTCTGACTTTGATTGAACCCATTAACCCTTGACCCAGTGTCTTAACCGTTTACTGACCGGTCCGGTTTTTTTTCCTCAAGAATGACACAAGCATTGCCATTGGCTTCACCGCCCACTTTACACACCTGTCTAAGAATTTGAAACGCACTATGCACCCCACATCATGTGCCGGCCTCGCAAGCGTACAAATCAGTAGATACACTAGCTGACATGGTGTTTTGAGTAGAAATAAAACTATCTAGTTTTAAAAGTGTTTTTACGGTATAACGAAATAATATGTGTCGAAAAAGTGATTCTAAAAAGTGTTTCTGGGTTTACCCAAACACCCCTATGTATTGACGTTTTTGACAAAAACACAAGGCTGCATGTTTGATAAAAATGATAAAAGCGAAAACAAGGGTGCTTATTCTCTACCCCTTTTTTCTCAAGTAAAGCACTCCAATCTTTTTTTTTTAATAGTATGTTCAGTATTCTAAATTAGAATTAAAACATTGAATGTAATTAAAAAAGTAAAATTAGGAATGCTGAATATATCAACAAATAATCAGCACTAAATATTCTATAAAAAGGATAAAATGCTAGATGCACCTTCTTAATTTTAAGTGCAAACATACCATGATTTCTAACCAATGACTTTCCACCTAGACATGCCATTTGTCTCTCAGTTAAACATCTTCTTTCTCTCTCTACACTTTGGATTTGGAATGTTTAGATTAGTTTTAAAAATGATTTTGCAGAATTCAAAAGATGTAAAAGGGACTATAATATGGAAGAAAAGTATTATATCAACTTGCGTAAAACATTTTTTTTTTCAAATGCTCCTGCTAGTTTCGAAGTGACAGTGCAGCAATTTTGTCCCGACATTAGTCTAATACATATTCTTTTTTTGTTCGCAGAAAAAGTCCTTTTTTTTTTGGGCCAAGTAATCTAATAAATACTCTTGAGATTGGATATTGGATAACAGGTGCTCTTTATTATGATTCAACTGCATGTTCTCTACTAGTAAACTGCGGCATTCATGATGTTCCAGAAAAAGCGTTTCTTTTTGGCAAATTACTGTGATAGAACCGAATATCTCAAGGTCTTGTCACGTCGATTTGGTTCTTTTGGCAAGAATTCTACATGGGCTAAGGCAAGAGACTAGAGTGGGGGTTGGGGAAATTAACAATTCTAAGAGGCTATTTAGTAAATATACACAATGACGATATTGCTGTCAGTACATTACTTATGTGAGGTTCAAATGTGAACATCATAAACTACATTTTGAAAAGACCCAAAAAAAGAAAAGAATTGGATTAAAATGCAAATTAGTAACATTTATTTCGAAGTTCCACGGGCCCGATCTCAATTTTGAAAGCTTCTTCCTGGTCAACAATACCTCCCATGTGGCCGTGAGGTGGCCACATCAAATTCTTCCACGAGTTTTCTACAACACCAACAATCTGCATAATCTAAAGAAATCGGAATCATACATTCTCAGCAGCATCAGTTCGTGACTCTCCAGCACTGTGTGAAGTCGCCAACATCTTGGCAGCCAACCTTTCTTCCAGAGCTCGGGCACCTCTCTCTCTGCAAGAAGAATAGTCCCATTGATAGGTTCCTTTACACAGTGATTATTTACTACATGACGCTGTCACCATTGGTATCGCTTTTATTTTGCCACGATAGAACACAAATTTAATCAAGGCAATAGCAAGCAATGTTTCAAATTAGAAACAAATTGTCCCTTGGAACAAAATTTGATCAGCTATATTTAGGTGACCGCTATTTGTCGGACAGAAGTTGCTATGTCTTCAGACCAAGACAAAAGGCGTGTATTCTGTTTCCATGGTAGAGCAGTATCAAGCAAAAGAAGGACATGGTTGTTACCCTTATCTTCTATTTATTATTATTATTCATTCAGCATTACAAAGGTTATATGCAAGCTATATATTGAGTATATATATATATATATATATATATATATATAAAAATAAAAATTAACCACTCTTCCGTGGTAAAATTAAACAAGAAAAGAAACAAAGCAAAAAACAAAAGAAACAAGAAAGAAACTTTTTTCCAATAATTTTTTTCTCCCTTTTCTTTTAGCTGAAGATAACACTCAGTCAGTCAATCCTACAGGTAAAGAATATAAGTAAGACGCAAAAGAAAAATGACAGACCTACAACTCTATTATTTAGTCACCTGATAGCTACCTTAAGAAATCATTTCAGTTCGAATGTCCATCTGAGGATGGATTGATATACTCAATTAACATTAAAGACAGTAAAGTGACATTACCGTCTCCTGGATGCCTCAGAGGGGTCAGAACCCGGCAAAGGTTCACCCCCAAGAGTGTGACCTTGGGATCATTAGAGGCATCAGATCTTCCACAGAGCATGCGATGAAATATTGACGCAATAGGTCTATGACTGGTCTGTGAGAAGAGGAAAAATGAAAATGAGAAAAGTGCTTAAAGCGAGAGAGTCAGAAGTCTTGGAATAGTATACTAAAACAGTAACTTACCTCAAAAATTCTGGGAAAAATGTGGAGAAAGCAAAGTCGTCACTTGGGTCACCCTTAAGTTTTGTCTCTACTCTCCTCTGCCAGTACCTAAGGTAAATCCAGCTAATGTACGTCCCAAATATTACAGTGGGAAGATATGATACTGCCTCCAGTGTCCAGAAGCTCAAAGCAATCGAAAGAAGTAAAGCAATGGATGGTAACCACTGAAAAAGGTTTAAAAGTGGTGTCATTCAGGTTACAGGATAGACTTCATCCTTCTAAAAAGTAACAGATTAGAGACAAGAGGAAAGAGTATCAGACCTTCACTTTTATCTTAAGGAGAGGCAGTTCTTGATCCGGCATCATCTGCTTGATGCCAACCAAGAAGCCAGAAAGAACTCCATGAAATCCAGAAAATGGCATATACCTAGAAAAATGTGAAAGAAGGAAATCAAAAGTTGCTGCCAGAACAAGTGCAAAATGTCAAAAAGAACCATATCATACAAGGCAAAAAGATAACAAAGAAACAAATCGACAATCCAGAATTAACAAAAGTAGCATAGTTTTTTTAAAAGCTTAACATATGATTAAGCCTAAAAGCACTGGACTAGTAAATTTTCCCAAATATTAAGAAAGGATGCAAGCGATCAAGCTGCCTTTATTTACCACAGCATGACAAATGTAGTGCAATTTCAATGTGCTGAAAGACCTAACAACTAATTGGAAGATAAGTCTAACGAGTTTAGGGGGTGTGTTAACAGATGAGTTCCTATTATGGTGATGATCCTAGTTATCTCCCAGAATCATCCCATTTTTCCTCTGGGGATGGGGAAGTTAATTTAGCTTCCGATTGATTTGAAACACAAGATCAGGAGTTCATATAATTTCAGCCATCAGATGTTATGAATGAAAGAAAGGAATAAAATGAATAAAGTGTATTTAACAGACAGACAGATATTTAATACACCGGAAGAAAAAAATGCACAGATTGCAGCTTAAGCAACAGACAGAAAATATCATCTCAGATGAATCTAGATTTCATACACTTACAGGTAAATTTCTTGTCTTGTAATATAGTACAAGGCAATGGCAGTGATGAAAATACACACAGAAGTCAGAAAGTTAACCACAAAAATGAACTTTAAAAATTCCCTGGAACCCCATACAGGTTCAAGCAGCTTTCCAATGAAAAGGAGACCAATGGTGCTGACAATTGCCTGTAGAAATGAATTATCACCAGCATTAACTTTGAGGTGTCATATAAAGATACCGGTATAATGACAAAATGCAATTCATTCAGTACACAGGCATAATTAGAAGTAATCGTAAGTGCATACAGCATACCCCATAAATGGATTGTTCAATATAACCAGCTGAAATCAGGTTCCAGGCAAAAGGGATAGTTCTGCAAAATGTATCAAACGGAAAAGAATTGAGTCATCCAACAAACAAATTTAAATTTTCAACATTAGCAGTTTTGTCACACTTCGGACAAACGTGAAACAACCATAGTTGCCTAGAAAAAGCCATGTCTCCAACCACATCTGTATATAACATTATCAACAGAAGCAATTAAATAGAATCCAAAATTCATTCAGATATGCACCATTAAACTCAAAAACACAGAGCTTTTTTTTAAAAAAAAAACAAGAACTCCAATCATAGAGTTGAAGAATAATTATAATGATGACTGATTATATTTATTCTATCATAAGTGAGTCTCATGTTTCTTATGAGTTCAATTTATAACACTGTAATTTGGCCATTATAAAAAAATAAACAAATAGAAGAAGTTGACAATGTTAACTCTTTTATCACATCATCATTAGAAGACAATAATCGACTAAAACACTTTCAGTCAAGTATCATGTGGTAAAGCAATCCGGTTCAGAACAAAAATATCTCAACCTTCTAAAGCATTGCATTACAGCCATCTCACTACAGTCAAATTTCACTCTACCCCCCAAATTACATTTTCCTGGACCAAAAAGGCAAAATAGAGTTTATAGAACAGTCCACTGGCCGCTTCCAGAAGGAGAAATAATTCAGTTTCAGCCTAAAAATTTGAGGAAAATTTCCCTTCCAGTAGTAAGGATCAACATCGGCTGCAGAAAAAATGACAGTCCAAACAGAGAAGCAAACAAAACTTGGCCAAGCAAAATTCAGAAACTCGACCATGCTCACCATGGAAATTTAGGATACTATTGGGAGCGTTTGAGCTTTTAGAGCATGTCAGATGCACAATGATTTCAAGTACAATGAAAAACCACACATTCCAAAGTCCACTCACTGCGAAACTGTTGAGTGGTAATCACAACAACGCAAACAAAATTTTAATTAAAAACCACAAACTTAGATGCCGCTTGAACGCAACTCAGACAGTTAATTTCGATCATTCAATAGGCAATAAGGAAAACTGATAGCATAGATTAGATGCAAATTACAATCCAATGTACAAACTAATGCTATTTAAGTTGTTGATCCAAGACAGAAATTTGAAGCAATCCCATCATTTATTGCTGTTGATAGTCCCTCACTGATCATCACTCAGGCCGAAATTCTATACCACAAAATTTGAGCAGCACGCATTAGATCAAACCATACCTGGCGGGAATAAGGGCTAGGTAAGCAACAGCTGAAGGGAAAACCTGAATCGCAATGTGACCACCCACCAGTACCACCGCTAGGCCTTTGCACAAACGAGTAAACCCAGAAAAAAGGCTCGTGCCCTGCCGGAGTGAGAAATATCGCGAATCAAAATGCTTAGCAAACAATCACCAAAAGAAGTTGAATTCCAAGATCTGAAACGAAAGAGCTCAAAATATGAAAATCGAAGAGAGAGAGATCCGCATCGTACCCCGGAGAGAGCGGGAGTGCTCATGGCTGGTGAGGATGTGAGCGCGGATTGACGTCAGTTGCTGAGATGACAGGGATTACAGAAAATGAAGATCAGAGGGCTTTTGGGAAGCGGAAGAGAGAAGTAACGTCCACCGATGGGAGCTCGGGTTTGTCACATGATTCATTCAGCATTTCAAGTCGGTCTGAGGATCGACGATCTATGATCTCTGTCTAACGCGTCCTAATTGCCTAACGATTATTGTCCATCATGCGCGCCTGATGCACACTAATCCTGGCTGTTGAATCTGTAAAACTAATCTGGAGAATCATAAAAGGAAAACGACATCGTTGCTATGATGCATCCTGGCCGTTAAAATTTTTTTTCTAACCGTGGCCATAGATCCCTAATAAATTAATTTTTCCCCCTCAACATTGATATCTTTTCTTAACACTAAATGTGATCACCTGTCTCATAAAAAAATTGAAAGTCGATTCACTAAGTTGTGAAACGCTAACCTCTACTAAATCATATATACACTCGTTATTTACCGATACAAAAAGTTTTCCCCTAATTTGAAAATATATATAAACTTCACTTGGAACTAAGCTGTACCTCATCCAAGCCTATCGACAACTAATTATTCAATTATGACAATTGATTTCAGTTTAATCGAATGGAAAAGCTGGCTTTTCTGCTTGATATGGTATTTCCAAAATAAAAAATATTAATTGCCATCAGAGTCTTAGATATTCAGGTCATGATATTTTGATTATTGTGAAACTTCAAAATAGTATATAGACTAAAATATACATTTGGTTTTTTAGTATTTCAGTTTAACCCCTCTACTTTAAAAAGTATACTTTTAGTCTTTTCATCTTAAAATTATTAATCTTAAATTATGTTTTTTTATGACAATCATGATTGTTTTGAAAATTAAACTTAATATGTTAATATTTAATAATGTTTTATCAACATTCAATAGTTCAATATTGTCATTTTTTATTAATAGTTTTAGGATTAGAGAACTAAAAGTTTACTTTTAATGTTAATAGACTAAAATAAAATATTGTATAAAGTTAAAAGACTAAAAGTATATTCTAATATAATATATATTGTGAAAAGTTAGAAACTTTCATTTTTAAATTTTTAATAGAAAATAAATTATCGATCCAGTTTTTAGTTCTATTGGGTCAGTTGACCAATTTACCTAATTTGATATTCAATGGATATATGAACTTTTTATTTTACAATATATATACATAATTTTTTTTGGCCAGAAATATACATGATGGCTTTAATTTATAGAAAATAAAATACTCCTCCGGTCCTTATTATAAGACCCCATTTGACTTTTTATTTGGTCCTAATTATATGACCCCAATCCATTTTGTCTCTTATATTTATGCATTTTTTTCCAAGATAATCCTTCTAATAATGATAGTTTTAGTCAATATACTTAATTAGCAAGGATATTTTAGGAATGACAACACTTATTTATTATAAATAACCAACTTAACTTACTTCCTTAATTTTCTCAAATAAGTTAATTGTGTCTTATAATTAGGACCGGAGGAGTAAATAAGTTTCTTTATTTATGAGAAATTTTTTTAATTTTTTTGTACATGATGTATATTTTATTTTTTTAATGATATTAATTATTTTTTAAAATTTTTCTGCAATATTGTTTTATGAAAGCACACAATTAAAGGAGAAGAATCGTAATAATTAAAACAAATTTGATATTTCATATGATATTGGCAAAAAAAAAAAAAATCATATGATAATATCTACAAGTAATAAAATACATAGCCAATGTCACAAAATATAAATACACACATACAATGCATTTTTGTGTAACTAATATGCATAATTTTCCTATCCCTTCGATTGTCCAACACCTTTGTTTTTTTTTTTTTTCTTCTTTCGGACCAGCTTCCAACACCTTTGTTGGAAGTATTGGAAGAAGAGGGATTTATGTTGTTAGGTATTAAAAAATGGAGATAGAAATGTGCAAAGTTAAGGGAAAATTGTTAGTTTTAATAAAATCAAATTGCATAGTACATCAAGATGCCAAATATAACTGCCACTCTCTTGCATTACAACTTTTTTAGTACCCTATACAAATATCTACATTGCTCTTCTTTCTTATTAGGTGAGTGTCCATCTTCCATAGCTTGAACAATATCCAATCAATTCTTAGCAGGTGAAAGTCCATCTTCTATAGCTTCAACAATGACAGCCATTACCTGCAATGATAATTCAGAATCAAGTAATTCAGTCATTCAATCCAACAAGTTCTTTATTTATTTATTTATTTTTCCATATAATCAACTCAAACAAAATATACCTAGGGAGAGTTTATCTCACATATCTCTCATGCTTGCTCCCCCATATAAAGATGCTTCACTATCAGTCTTAAAGAGTTTGATTTCTTTTTGTTCAATCCAGCAAGTTAAGTGCCTGCTTTTCTTACTATGATGGCTGAGATGGAAGCAAGTTCTGATTATACTCCTCCGGTCCTAAATGTAAGACCCTTATACTAGTGTGTATAAGGGTCTTACATTTAGGACTGGAAGAGTAGCAATTTTGAATTGTACGATGTGATAACTGACTTTAGCTCCTTCAATATGACAACAAGATCTGTTTCCTTCAAAATGGAAACATGTTTTGTTTAATATATAGTTAGTTCAATATGGCCATGGCATCTCTCGATTGCTGTAGCTAATTTCTTCAGTATTATGACACAGATCAGGTATATTCTGCCAAATTTAGTTAGTCCAAATATTTTATATCACTTGTGTCTCAAAACAACCAAGCATCTTTTGCAGACACTCAACAACATCTTTACCTCAAAAAGTTTCAAGTTCGAATGTTTGGCTAAAACGTCCAGGGCAGCAGGTATTGGCATACCCCTACAAAGACACAAAACTTCAGCATAGGTGATTGGTTCCCATATTCAAATCTCAAATGTAACTAATTAAAGAATTAGACAGAGGTTGGAATATAGTTATCAGGTTTTTCATTAGGATTATACATGTGCAGAAACTTTTCTAAAGGTCAGTAATGTAGGGATCGTGCATACTTATAACTTCCATCGGAGAGATTGACGGGAAACCTAATGATAATGCAAGTCCTCGAGCTTTTTTCCCCCCAAAACAGATCGGCATATTCTATCAGCACTAACCTTTATGCAGAAGATCATAACATTTGTCTATAAAATACTACCAAATTAAATGTACCAAAAGTTAAACCAATCGAAGTCATATATGTGCAGCATGAAGGAAAAAACAGGGAAAATCATTTGAGCAAATAAGCACTCAATAGTCAAAGAATGAGGAAGGGAGTGATGGAGAAGAATGACGAAGATACAGAGGAAGAGGTGTAATATAGATTACCTAACCATGGGGAACCGCGGAGCTTCCTGTCTGCGTGGGAAATCCCTGTTCCGAAGGGTTGGCCGTGATAGGATGTGGCAGAACGTGAAATCGGCTGGGCGAGGTCAGAATTTAAAAGCTTCATGAGGCTTTTTGTGAGCTCTCAGATCAACCGGACGGATAGAATTTAAATTTTCCGAGGGACAATGAGAAAAAGGCCGCTGAGAGGATCCAGACCCGAACCTCCCTCCTCTTCGACAGGACCCTTTTCTCTTTCCGCTCTGAAGCTCCGCCGACGCATTCGCCTGGCGCTTTTGATTACGCACATCGCTTGCCCAGTCCGACGAATCCTTCTCAGTGAGAGTTCGTGGTGGGTAAGTTGCAATTTGTGGCCTTCTCTTCTTTTCTTTTTGATAGCACAAGAAGCTATTTTATCCCCGCATCTACGTCTTTCTGGGGACTCTCTTATTATCGGTGAAGCTTGAGCTCTGAAGACTACGTTTCTCGACGATCCTGTTATCATCGTGTTTTGCTTCGATTTGTGGCATGATGCTTCCCATGAGCATCAGATGCAATACTTGTGGGAATTATATCTATAGAGGCACCAAGTTTAACTCTCGAAAGGAAGATGTGATAGGCGAGATGTACCTGGGAATTTAAATATTCAGGTTTTACTTTAAATGCACTAAGTGCTCAGCTGAGCTGACGACCAAGACCGATCCGCAAAATTCTGATTATGTTGTGGAATGTGGGGCAACGAGGAATTTTGAACCCTGTCGTGCATAGGATGAAGATGAAGTAAAGGTGAAACAGAAGAGGGAAGCTGAAGAGATGGGAGATGCCATGAAATCCCTAGAAAATAGAACTTTGGACTCTAAAAGGGAGATGGACATCCTAGCAGCCCTTGATGAGATGAAGTCTATGAAGTCGGGGCATGCCACTGTCTGTGTTGATGCAATGCTGGAGGCCTTGCAACGCACAGCAGCTGACAAGGAGAAACAGCTGGAAGAAGAGGACGAAGCACTGATAAAATCAGAGTTTTCTCAAGCAAATCAAAAGAACGTGGCAAGAATGCGGGATGAAGATTTAGAAACTGATCGTTTTATTGTTAAGCCTTCAATGGGTTGGTGAAACATCTGACGATCATATCAAGAGAAGTAGAATGTCTGAAGAGCTTCCAAGCATAGCAACTGAAGCTCTGACAAAAGCTAATTTGGATAATTCTGGCAACCCAGAAAATTCGTAAGGTTCGGGGACTTTTGGGGGAGCAAAACCTTTTCATCCTTTCGTGAAGATCAACGTTGTCAAGAAAGCAGCCGAGCCCAAAATTAGCACAACCAGTGGACTTCAATTCCTATGTCAAAGCTACAACAGGGATGATGATTAGTTTTAGTGTGTCATAGAAAGAATTTCCGTTTATTTCTTTTCTTCTTGTTTTTTTTCCAAATAGGACTTGCTCCAATTCAATTGCGACCATAGTTTAACCATGGATGCATAGTTAATGAAAGATCGGAATTGCAACTTTGTTTGTAATGGTAGTGGGAATCTGACACAACCGAGAAATTCTTGTATATGCCCTTTTTGATTTGATTGTTGTAATATTTATTTTTGTATAATACGAAACAAAAGTGAGTCACACAGTAAATAAACGTTTTTAGAAGATTTCACACCATAAACAAACACCACACTCAAGTGGTTTGAGGCACTTAGACGTTGACCAAGTAAATACAATTTTCAAAGAGGCTCTTCAAATAACAGTTCAAAATTTACTCTTAAAAAATAAAATAAAAGAACAGCTCGAATTTTCCCATCAAAGGACCGTATTAATTATCAGCCCCAAAATACAAATAGACAAATAGGAAGTGGTCAGTTGGTAGTAACAAGTAAAAGTAACCCGCGTTGAGTTATGGGCTATGAGAAACAATTGACAATTACTGTAGCCCACCACATACCATATTAATAGTCAAAAGGTGGAGTCTCCGTGCTATGAATTTACAAATTTACATGAAGCTGTACATAATTGTCGAGCAAGTAGCTCAGGACTGCAGCAAAATCAATCCGTATTGTGCAACACTTCTCCATATTAAACATCAACAGTAACTAAGAAGAGTATTGTATTATCAAGACTTCCTCTCTTTTTTATTAAAAACTTTTTCCAAGTGTCAACTATATCATCCTATGTAACTATTTCACCTGCCTGACTTCAATATGGCCCTACTGCATTATCAGCGAATTAGAAGCCTTCATATTTTATATCCATTGCACAATAATGAGTTCCTTCCATGGAGAAAACCAAGAAAATTTTGACAATATCATGCCCTCACTGCATATCTCTTTGGAGCATCAAATATTGGCTGCAAATAAGCTTCAGCGAGACACACTATAACCCGATGGCAAGCCAAAGCAGAAGATGTAACAGTGACAATAGCGCAAGCCCAACAAAACCTCAGCATCAATATGGGATCTTTACTCGCAGATTTTAGTGCCTTGGAGAATATTACTTTAAGTCGCCGATCTTTAAAGATGGTAATATAATCGTATGCAGGCAAGGATGATCTAGCAGGTAAACCTGATTCCATGATGCTAGGTCCATTCGCCAATATTGCCTGGTAATACCGAGACACTCTGATTCCCTGTCCGAAGTATTTAATTACTCTCTGGCACATTACGTCAGCTATGATGTCACGAAGGTGTTGGCGAAAAGGTTTTGCCTCCTTGGACAACATTGCTTTGATTAATGATGCTCCATCCTGTTCATTCAATGAAAAGTAAGTCTGTTACCCAGTGCAGATTGTTTGAACCACGTAAACAACACCCATCACGCATAAGCACACTGCCTGCATACTCTGTATTTCCATTAAGAACATACAAAATCACCCAAACTAATCATGCAAGATTTAGTACAACAAGTGGACTCATTAACAGCTGAATTTTTGTTCAATTTTATATTTGATGCTAGGTTTAATCCATTGAAAAACTCAGGCAAGAAAGGAACCAAAAGAAACAAACTCTCATCCTCTTCAAACTAGCATGCACTGTAATCAAACAAATGTAGCAAGTAAACATATGTACATTACTAATCTACGATAAAGCAGATTCCACATTGAAATATTAACAAACTAGAATACACATCCCCAATAAGAATAGCGGCAAATATTTAAGCGTACGTGATAAACAGATCTTAGCAACTCACAGCAGTCATAAGAAGCCTTCTGAGCACAACACCATCTTTGGATGGTAAAAGCCTCATGACCAAGTTTGCAATATCAAATACTGGTACACCACCAGTCTTATTTGGTAACTGGTCAAGGGAAGTCTCATTTTTTGATCCCACTGATTGTAAGGCTTTCCTGGACAAAAAGAAAAGCATCAGAATGAAGAAAATGCTCTATCCATCAAATAATTGGAGCATTCTAAAACAGGCCGCCATGAGTCCATTAATTAGATGAGGAACGCTGCACCTCCTTCTCTACTTTTTCTCTTTTTTTAAAGTTGAGAATGCTTCCTGGACACCTTGAGTATATGCCAAATTTAAAACACATTGCTACCATGTGCTGAGTTTTCAGATTAGACCAAGAGAGGAAGGAAGAGTATACTTTGAGTGTTTTTTTTTTTTTTTGGCCCCCTGGGGGGGGGGGTTGTTCTCCGCTAATAGCCCTCCTATAACTTATTCCACAACAGAAAATCTTAATTCTGAAAATATTTAATGGTACAAATTGAATCATGGTAGGAGTACTATGGCATGCATCGAAGAAGGTTTCTTCAATTTTGAGTTTTTATTGGAGATCCTGACGATAGCATACACCCAAGGTTTATTCCTTTGAAAGTCATGTCATATATGCCCAGATTTCATACCAACACTTACTTCCATCTATAGCAGTAACCCAAGATGCATGTTGTCAAACACCCCCCCCCCCAAAAAAGGATACACTAATACCAAAAACAAAAAATTTTAAAAGCACTAATTAGAAAATAACCCATCCCAACTTCAACCCATTTAATAATGCCTGATCAAGCCCTTCCTGTTTCATTTTTCTTACCCCCAGCCCATTACGCCAAATCAAGCACAATGAAAAGAAGCCAATAGTGAGTCATATCAACATGTGTATTCGTATTATTTATACAAGTTGTACTTGTCCTTTATTCTCAATCAATTAAGTCTGAAACAGAGGACTATGTCTTTTATTATATAATAATTTACACATTTAAAACCAAAACCGGAGGAAAAAGGATCATTATGTGGAAAATTGTTATAACATTGCAGAGTTAGCATCAAAATTGAAATATAAACGTTTGAGTAGTACAAATAAGGCCCAAAAAACTTCATAATGAACAATATCCATGACATAATGATTTCATTTAACTCCCAACATACCTGGTTGCACCTACCCTCAAGAAAAGGGAAAGCCTTTGCCAGAGGAACTCTTTCTTTCTGTTTAGTAGCACCTAAACAGGAGATAAAGAAGTTGAGGGAAGAGAAATCAAATAGAAAATTTGAAAGTAAATACTAGGAGATCTTAACGTTGTAAGAAATATTAACCAAAAACAGCATTCAATACACACAACGGTAGACTACGATACATGAATCCATCAGGACCTTTGAAATACTGTTAAATAAAAATTTTAAATGAAGCACAGCCTGCAAACTCTTACGGTTAAGATTTTCAATTTCTAAGTCATTGAGATGGGAAAATTACCCTAATTCATACAAAGGTATGGTTAAACCAAGATTCATATATCAAAATAGAACTTTGAATTCTCAGCTTATTTATCAAAAACGCTCAGCCACAACGGAATGATAAAATGTTATGGTACAGCAGATTAATGAAACAGAACGCATGTTTATGAGACTCCTTATACCGAATGCAATATATTCCTTGATGCTACTGAGTTTTCTGTGAGAAGTTTTCGAACAACAAAAGGATATGCAGCTTCAAAGGTCTTAAAGTTTGGGTCTGCAGCTATAGCCAAACCTGAATGTTCAAAAGCAAAATTTAAGTTGACAAAAAGAAAATGAAACAAGAATATTGATAATTCAATAAAACACTATATATTACTAGATGTTTATACATGCATTACAAAGAACTACTCATAAGCATCAGTGTGATGACAGATGTGTGACCCATAGTCATGTATATAGGATCTTCACACTTTACCTTCGAACGAAGCGAGGGAGCGCAAGACAAGTGTATAGTATGGTGGCATACGGAAATGATACTTCAGTGCTACGGACCAGATCTTTCCTAAAACCTTCAGGAAAATTTACTGTGAGATATCAGTGACTGAAGAGAAGAAACCCTATTGAACACCTCAACAAAATGACTAAAGCTAATTTGCTCAAATATGAATTGTTAGACAAATATAGCTCATAAATATATATGCAGTAGGAAGCTCTAAAATTGGTTTTGTTATCATGAAACAATTTTCAGCGTCAATATTAACAATGGCATACGGCAAATGACAGATTTGATTTGTACAATTTCAACAAAAGTAGGAACTACAATGCTGACATCAATTACAAGCTTCCATTTAAAAATAAAATCATTCAATAAAAATAGTTTATGGATTTATATTGATAAACACATGGCATCTTTCGGAACCTTGTTTCATTCAATTAGGTACTAACAAACAAAACTCAGAAGCTCATTTTTACATCAAATTCTTTTTCTCATTTTCTATCCTTAGTCCATATTTCCAATCCAACGTTCTACAAATTATGCAATGATATGTCAAAGAGCATCCAATCTATGGTTATTACAATTAATCAAACAAAACAAATTGAGGGGAAAAATCACAAACATCTTTCATCAGAAGAAGCATGACAGTTATTTATGTTTTTTGAAAAAGGTACTCAACAAAAAAGACAAAAAAAAAAATCAGGAAATCAGATTATCTATCACAAAGTTAGTATTTAATTACTTTGAGACGGGATCAACAAATTCCAACATTTGCAAACATACAGAGTTGAATCCTCCTATTAGTTATTGCACATTCTTTTTCCTGTTGAGCCTAATAACAAACTCACTTCTACATAGTACATTCTTTTAACGGCAAGGTGAGAGCACTTCTTTCTATTAGAAGCTTTATGGAACACCGACTTTGCCTAGTTCATAAGTGCATTCACCATCTTTTCTGTTATAAATGAACTCACCCTGCTGAACTTCACATCTGGTATGCCGTCTCTGAACTCCACTTCTCCCAAGGCATGTTCCAATTCCTGCAATTTTGTAACAGATCTGAAAAGTTAGTTCTATGAAAATGAGTTTCAAAATTAAAAATATGCAATGGTATCATGACTAAATGCTGAGGCCTAAATATTTTACCAAGGTTACAAGTCGGATATTTGTCCCAGGCCTCACAACATCCATATAAGTTAGAGCACGAACAAGGGATGCCCAGTCACCATTTACTATATGAACTATCGAAGCAAGCATAGCAAGCTGGTGCTTTTTTTCCATTTGACAAAGCAAACCAAAATCTAGAAACCTACCACAATAAATAGAAGAAAACAATAAGTAGTTAATCGTGAAGTAAAACCAGAATCTACTTTAACTGAGAAGGGAGCAGACAGTTACCCTATTTGTCCTGAGGAAGTGTAACGCAAGTTTCCAGGATGCGGATCAGCATGCAATAACCCAGTTTCAAGAAGTTGCACCAATGTTGCCTCAACACCTTTGTTGACCTGAATGAATTGGTGTGTAATATAAATCAATATCCCACAAAGAAAAATATGCTCGGTCATCATAATGAGGAAATAAGACACCAAGGCAGGACAATTTTTGGTATAATCAGTAATTTGCGGTTGACAAACAATTCAACTGAGTAATATGGGATTCAAGTAGTAATACAATCTTTTTACGGCAAAATAAAACTAATACAATCTTAGAGAATATTAAGCTTATCTTCATTATTTTAATTCAGAAGAACCCATCCGTGTTTCATTATGGACACTCTCTAGAATCACAATGCCAGAGGTTCCCTTAATACTCAAGGGACAAATTTATTGCGCCCCCCCTTTATCTATGCAATAGAAAATGACTTTGATGATGCAATTGAATCCAAGAAATAAGATAAGTCATAACTCAAACAATAAGATAAATAAGACGGGATTCCTAAATAATAAAACTTATTTTATAGACAACTCAATAATAAAGACCCCTAAAACATTTTGTGAATAAATTAGCGAGCTGATGTTCAGACCTTTTATAGATTGCCCTGATCAATTTTTACAAAAATTTCCCCCAACAAAGTGACAAATCAATCTCGATATACACTGTTGGTTCATAGAACACTAGATTTGAAATAGATAATCTCGTGCTGTATCATATTTATAATATGAGAAACACTATAACTCACATAAATAAGCATCAAGGGAATAATGAATATACATCTTAGCTCACTATTTACACTTAAATAAAGGAAGGCACAAAGGTTGAAGACACGGAATTTCTCCCTTCAATCTCTTAGCTTTGCATCAGGAGTTGAACTCCTTTTTTGTTCTTTAGTTGCCTCTCTCTTATTTTTTTTTTATTGGCCAAAGTATACATTTAGTCCTCTAACTTTATAGAGTTTTGATTTGATCCTTTAACTATAAAAAGTATACTTGTAGTCTTTCAACCCTAAAATTGTTAACAAAAAATGATAATATTAAGATAATAAATGTTGATAAAACATTTAAGCTAAGATACTACCTCTGGTCCTAACTATAAAACCTTGTTTGTAGTCTACAACCAAAGTCTTATAATTAGGACTAGAGGTAATATGAAGTTTAATTTTCAAAATAGTCATGATTATTACAAGAAATCATCATTTAAACCTAATGATTTTAGGGTTAAAGGACTAAATGTATACTTTAGCTTTTTTTATTTTAACCGCACTAAGTCCTAGAAACTAGATAACTTGTAACTCAACAAAAATAATAAGATATATCAGAACTTCCAACCTAGCAATTACTCCCTTTAAGAAACATAAACTACTTATCAAAACATAATCAAGAATTCAATAACCATATGGGTTTTTGGTACAAAGGCCTGTAAATTGTACCATATTTCTTCCAAAAATCAATTCACATACTTGCATCCCACCCTAATACATTATATATAGCCCCTACTGCAACCCTTTAGAGTAACCAATTCTGTTCCCTTCCCAATACCTGCACGCTCATCCTCTCTCTTCCTCTTGTGTGATAATTTCTGTCACTGCTGACTCTGCCTACTACCACAACTAAACCTATTAAAATTGTAACAAAAACACCTAATAATAAATAAGACACATAATAACATATTATCCTGCAACAGTTTTACACCCATGCAAAGACAGAAGTTGTAATTATTTCATTTGTGCTCGCATACCAGATCAAGAAGACGCCCCTTTGCCTCAACTTTCTGCCTTTCCAAATGTACAGAGTCATTTCCAGCAGAGTTTCCAGTTGATACGGAGAGCAAATCTGTTGGACTTTCACCAATCATCCACTCCATGGTGAGAACCCGTGTTCGACTTAGATGTTTAAACACTTTTGGCACGCTCATAAAAGCAAAGGGAGAGTGAACTTCCTGATTGTAGAAAAAACAAGTCAGTTGAGAGATAAAGTTACTGTGAGGTTCATTAAAGCCAATTCTACCTTAAAGTTTTAACGGTTAAGTGTTGACCAGGAATTAATATTTTTAACAGGTCGTAAGACAATAATGTTCAAATTATTATGCGGCAAAAAGAAATATAATGTTATCCAGAAGCTACTGTTGACCAAATTTCAGTTTACAATTCTACTTTGGTCAATAGTATACAAATCATTTCAAATTTCCATTGCAAAATATCTTAGTAGGATCTACATTGACTTTCACAGCTTCATCCTAGATTCTTGTTAAGTTCTGAAACCATATTTCAAATTCAATAGCCCACATACAATATTAATTACCTGAAACTTTGAAGCATTTGCAGCCTCTAAAGTGTAATCTAATTCGCCAACAAAACCTTTCCCCAGCTCATCAGCATATAAGCGAGGATCACTCTTTCTCTTGGCAAACTTTTGCACTAGACCTAGCTGAAATAGTTACACCCAGTCACTTAAGAAATTTAATCCTGGACAAAATAATACAGATATCAAGGCAATAGAGATCAATACAAACCCCAAGGCGAAGGATGAAGATATCCCGCACCACCACATGATGCAAATTTGGACGCTGAACTTTTACAGCAACATTGGTTCCATCAGTAGTACGGGCAAAGTAAACCTAGGAAATGTAAAGGTAGTTAAATGAAAAATGTAAACACAACACCACTTATATTTAATCAAGCAAGGCACTCCTATGACAAAGCAAGGAATTACCTGACCAAATGAGGCAGCAGCTACAGGTTCCTCAGAAATGTAGCTGAAGAATGACTCCACGGGAGAACCTAATTCTTCCTCAATAATCCTCATCGCATCGGCCTTGGAAAAGGGGGGGATTTGTTCATGCAGCCCAGATAACGCCTGCAAGATGAACTCAATTGGAATATGGAAAGAAAAGGCCAATGCATGTAAAAGATATAATAATCTATTCTAGAAACTGTGGTCCATGAAATTTTGTAGTTCAGAAGCTGTTCAATAGCTTGAGATAAAATTTGAACCCTCCAAATTAAATTTCAAGAATCCATATTCAAGTTTGTTATTTTTATTTTTATTTTTTTTTTAAGTTAAGAATTCATTTTTAAAAAATTGACAATTAGAAGGTTATATTTATTTCATCCTATGCATCTGTAAAAATAAAAGATATCAGAATATTAATAATAAATAACAAAAAAATGCCTGTGCAATTTTAATCTAGATGCTCCGCATTAAAGGATGAGCATGAAATCCAAATCAGAGAAACTACAAAACGCCTTGCCAGGCGTATTAGTATGTTGCTACAAAAGCATAGCTGCATAGGTCTAAAACACGCCACATACGCCAAAAGGTATGGTATATAACAGTAAATTATTATCATCTAATATACAGTACCACTACCTATACCAAATTTCAAGGGGAAAACAGAAGTCCTTAAACTTAAATACTTAATGTACATTTTAATCAAATTATAACAAGTGGATTTTAAAATTTTAAAAAGTTCAAAATGTTGATAACAAGAGTTAGCAACGAAACAAGTTAGGAATGAGAAAATACACGTCTCAATTCGATGGGGGTAAAACTACCTTAATTATATAAGCTTAAGTACCTAGGCTTTTTCCAATTGTTAATCCTAAATTAGCATGTTAATTGCAAGAGGAAAACAGCCAAAAATGAAGGACCAGTGCGGACATGCTATTCAATCTAACCTTGGACATCTCAGCACCAATGATATCTGGCCTTGTGGAAAGGGACTGACCAACTGCACCAACAAGCAAATTACTTCCACAATGATATTGGTGATCTTAAAAGTTAAAACTACAGAAGAAATAAAAAGGCCTGACAGTTATAGGCAATGCAAAAACTTAAGGAGCCATAACAATGACAGATAAATAAAAGATCATTTAAAATTTACAATCAGTTTTCAAAGATTAGATTTATTACCTTTAATAAAGGTGGGGCCAAGGCTAAGCATTGTTTCTTTTAACACTATCCCAAAATTATATTGAGATGTTTTCACATCAACATCCTCTTCCGGATCTGGTTTTATAAACTTTGTGACTCTTGAAGTTCGAATTCTAATCACAGCAGAGGCAAAGGCGGAAAATATCTTCCAAGACAAAAATATTGAAAAATTAAAAGTGTACTTCATTAACAAGTCAAGCAAGCATCTTGATACAAATTCTAAACCTAACAAATGAAATATTGGTTTCAATAAAAGAAAATAAAGAACAGAATATTGAATCACAAGCTATTTTCAGCAATCATCTAAAGTACATTAGGACAATTCCTGTAGTACAAAATCATCATATAAGGTTACATCTTTAGCTTGTCTCTCTGACCAACATATAATGACAATCTCGTAAGATAAAATACAGAAACCCCCATCAGTGAAAGAGAACCCTTGAGTAAATGAGCAACCACTTTCAAGTTTTACATGAATTCAGATAATACGTAAATGATAAGTCATACAGCAGCCATTCAGTATTGAAAAAAGAAGAAGGAGAAGAAGTGACAGCTTTTTGCATCAGAGATGTACGTTAATCCTACAATCTAGAGCCATAAACCCCGGCAAGTACATACATAACGTGCAATTTATCCTCCTCCAAATAAGTAAAATCAATTATATGCACAATTTTATCCCTTGTCTCGATACGAGTGCATTGCATTTGTCTTTAAATAAGCAGGGTGAACAGGCCCTAACTATCAATCACAGGAAAAGTAGATTCTAGAGCCATAAACCCCGGCAAGTACATATATGGCAAGCACATACATAACGTGCAATTTATCCTCCTCCAAATAAGTAAAATCAATTATATGCACAATTTTATCCCTTGTCTCGATACGAGTGCATTGCATTTGTCTTTAAATAAGCAGGGTGAACAGGCCCTAACTATCAATCATAGGAAAAGTAGATTCAAAAAATTCATCATGGGTTTTCATAAAATTTGTTCAATTAACTACCTCAAGAAGACGAAGGGCCACCACATGTGGCCTACAGCTAAAATAGGTAGCAACATCCTGTGGATCATAGACTTCAGGAAGTGGTTTAGACCAAATCTTGGATAATTGATAGAAGTAACTCGCATAAACTTCCAATGCTTTGAGATCAGCCATGAGCAAATCCACTCCAGACAGTTCTGAACGGCAATGAAAGGACAAATCAATACGTGGAAGAATCAACATGGGTTAATGCCATCATGGAACATCCGCTCCATAACCCAAATTTTCAACCTCAACGTAAGAGAGACACATTACCATTCATTTGCATGTAAAAAGAAGCATTCAATAATGCCCAGTTCACGAAACCGAGTGAAATTTCAAATTAAGCGTATATGACTAAAACTACATGCCGAGGAAGCTTTGACGTCTACCTGGGTACCAATGCTGAGGCCAAGAAGGCGGGGAATATTCGGGAGCCTTAGGGTCCTCGAGATTGCGAAGCCATATAAGGTCATCGATTTTCTTCGTAACCTTCGGAATACGGAAAGCCTCGTTCGCCCATTCAACACCTTTACCAATTCCCTTCTTTATGAACTCCGCGTCCTTGCGAAGCACCTGAGTGAAGTGGCTGAAATTCCCCGCATCCCGCTTCTTGTTCTGCTGGCCCCTCGACGACGCCGTTCCGGTGGCCCGCACCGAGCGCAGCGCGGAGATGGGACCCGACCACGGTGTTGCTACCGCCGTGGCCATTGGCCAAGGAGACAGAAACAGAACTGTGTATACAAACCGGTAAGATACTGACAGTTTGAGAGTGAAGAAAAGATTAAATTAAGAAAAATTGATTGCAAAGGTTAAAAAACTAACGTTTGATGGAGTTCAAAGGAATGCACAAAAGAAATTCATGAGAAGATAATTTATGTGAATGGTATTGTAAGAATGTTGAAGATGACGAAAAAGAAAATAGAGGCAGTGGCAGTGGTAGCGGCCATGGCAGTGAAAAAATATTAAAATAGTACAGTTTTTCTGTGTGGATGTAGCGCAACGCGTGTGCCAGTGGAACGCCGACTTTTTGGATTCTTTTTTTTTTTCAATTTCTTTGTTCTTTTGGCTCCTGGAGGCCGTTATTTATTTCGCTGAGGCTCTGAAAATCAGCCGTTGGTAAGCTTTTTTATTTCAAGATGAGCTGCATGATTTTAATGACCCTCTTAAAAAAAGGAAAGTGCCTAATTTTTTTTAAAAAAATGCAATTTTATCCTTTGCTATTATTATTTAATTTAATGAAATTAACCGTTGGTAAGATATTTTTTTCAATGCCGTTGGCAAGATAAGCTGTGTGATTTTTGGCAAAAACAGTAAGCTGTTGTTTTAATGAAACCCAAAAAAAAGTAAAGTGAGTAACTTGGGGAAAAAAACACACAATTTTATTCTTTTTATTATTATTTACTGAAATCAGCCGTTGGTAAGAACTGTTTTTTTCAATGCCGTTGACAAGATGAGCTGTGTGATTTTAATGACCCCAAATAAAAAGGGAAAGTGCGTAAGGTTTGTTTTTTTTTAAATACAATTTTATTTTTATTATTATTTACTAAAATTAACTGTTTGTAAGATGAGCTGTGTCATAGGATTTCAGTTTAGTTTATTATTTTTAAAAATTATATTTTTAGTCTTAATGATTTTAGAATTAATAGGCTAAAAATATATTTTTGAAACTCAAGAAATTAAATTAAAATCTTATATAAAATTAAAAAAACTAAATATATACTGTTTATTTATAAATAAATTTAAAATAATATATAATTGATTTATAGTTGAGAGTTATTCACATAGAGTTGAAAGTTCACGGGGATTTATTATCAAGTTTTAAATATTAAAAAAAATTGTCATAATTCAAAATTTAAAAGATTTTGGTGTAATTTAGCCACAGATAGTTAGTCGTAATAAAGTACTCAAACTCACTCATAAATATCAGAAGAATTAAGACTCGTAAATCACGACGGGGAAGAAAAATTCACGAGTCCTTCTGATGACCAGGGAAAGCTTAACAGGTTGGGTCCTTTTAATAAGATCGTCTAGATGACTTGTTATTTCAAACGTAGGTTCGTGTGTCCACGGGGACGTGCTTAGTATAAAGAAAGTTGGGATAGCAAGGGCAACATGTTTAGGTGCATGTTTGGTTGGGCTTTTTAAAAGTGAAAAGCAGTTTATTTTGAGTAGAAGCCAATTGAAAATTTTATCTTGTTTGGAAGGGTTTAAACCCTATATAGTGCCTGTTTGGATTCACTTAAATTGAGCTTAAAGTCAGCTTAAATTTTAAAATAAGCTGCGTTGCAACAGAGACCTGTTTGGATTCACTTTTTTTCAATTGGGCTTATGTGCCAAAAGCCTGATTCTACACCCAATTGCCATAAGCTAGAGGAAGGAGCTTATGCTTAACCCAGAAGAGCTTTTGGCGGAAAAAAAACGAGAGAAGCTGTTTGCCCGTTCCTACACGTCAGAACTCAGGTCCTTTTTCCTTTCCTCTCACAACTCGTTCCTTTCTCACCGAGGAGTCGCACGCCATCTCCGTAGCTGGTCGCCCCGCTGAAGGTCCCTCTCTGGTCGCCGTGAGCTGTGGCGTTGTCATCGTCGTGCGCTTCGAGTCGTGGGTGTGAGGTGTCCGTGGTCGGCTGGAGGTGCTTCTTCCTTGCAAGTCCGAGCTGGTCCCGCCGTCTGCAACCGAGGTCGCCGCCGTCTGCCTGTGGTTTCGAGCTGTGCGTGGATCTTGTCTTGCGAGTCTGATACACGGTGGGATCTATCTCTAGCTGCCTTCGATTCAGTTGATCTGTTACAGGTTGGTGAGTAAAATTTTTTCTTTCTTTTCTGGTTTGATTCTTGCTTGGATTTGCTGTCGCCGGTGGAAGTCAAGAGTTCTCCGTTGCTGATGTTCGGTTTATTGTTTTTTCGGTCTGGTTTGTTGCGGTGCTCTGTTTCTGGCCGGTAGTTGTTTTTATTTTCATGGTATTTTCATGGTCGCTAGCCTCTGTTCGCCGGTGGTTCTTATGGTCCTCTGTTCCTGCTGGCTGGTGGATAATTTTATTGTTTGCCTTCTGGTTTTCTGACGGCTTGCTGGTGGTTTTAGGTGAATTAACGGGGAGCAAAACGTAGAGCTTGTATACGTGATGAATCATTCTTTTTTTTTTTTTGGTGAAAACGTGATGATCATTCTGGATATTGTATAAGTGCGTATGAGCTTGTGTATATGTGTATATCAGAGTGTTACACTGATCATTCAGTTGCAATGGTCCTGGAATTTTGAAAGAAAAATGTACAAAAAAAACAATTTTTTATGTGAAATAGATTGAAGTGTATATCAGAGTGTTACACTGATCATTCAGTGGTTTTATGTGAAATAGACTGAAGAAAGTAATTTGATAACAATTTTTTAGTCCTTATAATGCTGGTTTTTAATAATGTAATTAACTACTGAATTGTCTTCCCTAATTAAATTTCTATTAAATAAGTCATTATTAATTAAGTTTCTGTTAAAATATGGCAGTTCTAATTGAAAGATGAACAATTTTTTTTCAAACAATAAGAAAAACAATTGATTAATTGAGTTTTTGAATAAGAAAGCAAAACAGTTTTTGCAATTATAATGTGTTAATTAATATTTGACGACTTCATAATAATAATTGGAGTTTTGATAACAAATGCATTTACAATAATATTAAGAAAATAGTATATATGTTTGTTTGGTGATTACATAATGTGGCTTTCATTATTATATATTTAGGGTTTTGGTTGATTCAGTTAGTTTTGTTTCCATCAAAAGGATAAAGAAATGGACAATGATAAGGGAAAAGCGACATGGGATCCTTACACAACAAAGATTCTAATCGATGTTTGTGCCGAGCAAATAGTGCACAAGGAACGATAAGGAACATCATTTACAAGGCCTGGTTGGAGAAAAATTGAAAAGAACTTTCAAGAAAGGAGCAGGAGAATGTATGACAGAAGGCAATTGAAGAATAGATTTGATATATTGCGAAAAGATTGGAAATTGTGGGATAAACTGGTGTCTGGAGAGACTGGGATTGGTTATGATGTAGCCACAAATAGGATTTTGGCCTCCGATGAGTGGTGGCAACGAAAATTACTGGTAATTATTTCCGTTGGTTGAGTTTTAATTTTGAATATCCGTTACGACTTTGTTTGATTTTGCCTAATTATGTTAATGTAATGTAGGTTGACCCTAATTTCAAGAAATTTAGATATCAGGGGTTGATGTTTGCATCAGAGCTGCAGAAAATATTCAAAGATGTTGTGGCTTCGGGAGAGTATATGTATGCACCATCAGCCTCACAGCCCCAGTCGACACCTGTGACACAGGCTGGTACAGAAGAGGAGGAGGATGTTTATAGAGTTGGCCTGGACCAACAGGAAGGGTCAGGGGACAGTGAAGATGAAAATTTTGGAGTTGACCCAACAGCCAGTGCAGGATTCACCGATGACTTTGCCGGTTGCAACTTAAACACCCCTGCGAGTACTGGACCAAGTGGCTCAGGAAGCTATGGAAAGAGGAAGAGGGGTGAGACGTCTGATGTAAAGAAGAAGAAAAAAGTTGCCGCGTCTATGAAAATTTCCGATAGTCTTAGTGTTATAGCAGCTGCTTCTGACAAGCGAGCAGCAGCACTGGTTGAAGATCCCCAAGTAGTTGACAAGGTTTTAGCACACCTGACTACCGTTGAGGAGCTTAATGATGACAATCAACTATATTATGCATGTGCCAAGATGCTTATGCGGTTGAGGTGGGCTAGGCGAGCCTATTTGGGGTTTATGCATGATAGAAGGAAGTTGTTGGCGTGGTTAATACCGGTAGCACAAGATCCAGACACATGGAAGTAGGCACCTCTAGAATAGGATTTAGTTTAGGATTTAGTTGTTGCACTTGTTAACTTGAAATGTTTGCTGTTTGAACTTGAACTGATGTGACTTGTTGTAGGAACTTTAGTAATGACTATGTAATATATTTATGCTAATTTCTAATTGTCATCTATGTGTTTGGTTTTTCTGTTTGCAGTGTGAAAATTATTTACATGAGGTTTAGTATAGTCCTTATAATGCTTACACTTTGTTGTTATTATAGTTACAGGGTTAACTCCAGAAATGGCTAATTGGAATGATGATTCACAGTGGAATGAAGATACTTTGAGGGATTGGAATGATGATTCACCGTGGAATGAAGATACTTTGAGGGATTGGAAGATTCACAATGGAATGAAGATGACCATTCAAGACGGTTATCCATGATTAATGAGGAATTAACACAATATGAAGCAGTAGGTGCATTGGTTGGTCATTACTGTGAAATGTATATGTTTAAACAACCCTGTAGAACTAGTGAGCAAACAGGAAATTTATGGGTACAAGACATTATGAATGGGCATGATGATCGATGTCCTGAAATGTTTAGAGTGGATAAACATGTTTTCCACCTCTTATGTACTAAATTGGAGGAACATGGTTTGCGAAAGTCTAGGTACATAGGAATTGAAGAAGTGGTCGCGATGTTTTTAAATACGATTGCACATGGACAATGTAATAGATGATCCAGGAACGATTTCAATTTCAGGGGAAACTGTAAGTAGGCACTTTCACAATGTACTATAAGCTTGCCTTAGCCTATCAAGTGAACTTATTCGACCTGTAGATCCTACATTTCGTGGAACTCATAGAAAAATTGAGAATGATCCACGTTATTATCCATTTTTTAAGGACGCAATCGGAGCAATTGATGGTACTCACATACCGTGTGTTGTCCCCGCTACAAAACGAGATAGATTTATTGGCAGAAAGGAAAATCCATCACAAAATGTCATGGTTGTATGTGATTGGGATATGTGTTTCACTTTTGTCTTGGTAGGATGGGAGGGATCTGCACATGATGCTCGTATATTTGACAGCGTTTTTACAAATT